TAGTCGTGTTAGTATAAGCACAGGGCACCTCAAAGAGGGGACCTGCAGGAAAAGTTTGAAAATGCTCCTTCCCTTTTAACAGTTTCCTGGAGTAAAATTACATGCCGTAAAATTCACCTGTTTAAGTTTGCAATTCAATGACTTTTTGTAAATGTACAGAGTTGTGCAGCCGTCACCGAAATCCAGTTTCGGGACGTTTCCGCCACCCCAAAAGATCCCTCATGCCCACTTGCATCCCTTCCCCACTGCCACCCCCAGTTCCAGGCAATCTCTAATCTACTCTATGTCTATATTGATTTACTTTTTCTGGACATTTTGTATAAATGGTAAACTATGTGGCCATTTGTGTCTGGTTTCTTTGACTTAGCAAAATATTTTTGAGGTTCTTCCATATTGTAGCATAGATCAGTAGCTGGTTTCTTTCTTTTTTTTTTTTTTTTGAGACAGAGTCTCACTCTGTTGCCCAGGTTAGAATGCCGTGGTGTCAGCCTAGCTCACAGCAACCTCCAACTCCTGGGCTCAAGCGATCCTCCTGCCCCAGCCTCCCAAGTAGCTGGGACTACAGGCATGTGCTACCATGCCTGGCTAATTTTTTCTATATATTTTTAGCTGTCCGATTAATTTCTTTCTATTTTTAGTAGAGACGGGGTCTCGCTCTTGCTCAGGCTGGTCTCGAACTCTTGAGCTCAAATGATCCTCCCGCCTCGGCCTCCCAGAGTGCTAGGATTACAGATGTGAGCCACCGCGCCCGGCCAATAGTTGGTTTCTTTTTATCGCTCAGTGACATTCCATCACATGGATGTACCACAGTTGTTTTCCATTCGCCAGTTGATGGGCATTTGGACTGTCTCATTCATTATGAAAAATGCTGCTACGAATATTCGTGTACAGGTCTTTCCGTGGACATAGGCTTTTATTTCTCTTGGATAGATGGGAATTGTTGGGTTTTAGGGGAAGTTTCTGTTTAACTTTTTAAAGAAACTGCTAGGTTGTTTCTCAAAGTGGTTGTGACATTTATATTCCTACTAGCAATGGATTTGCTAGGAGCGCTCTAATTTCTCCACGTCTTCACTGATACTTTGTACTGTCTATCTTTTTGATTGGGGCCACTCTAGTGGGCATGACATGCTATCAGTCCTGTGCAACACACAAGTGGAAATGTCCGAGAAGCAGGTGGGCGTGGGTGTCTAAGCTGCAGGTGGAGATCTGGCCTACAGATGTGCCTCAGGTAATAGATCCATTTACTTGTCAACCAGGAATGGTTTCCTCGCCTCCTACGTGTGCGCCAGCCACTGTCCTAGGTTCTGAAGTTGCAGCTGGGAAAAATACAGACATTTCGGTGACAGTCTGTGGAGCTGACTGACAGTCTAGTGAAGAACACAGACTGGGAACAAATAAAGGTGCAATAGAATGTCACAGGGTGGTAAAAGCTGTTACAAAATAATAAAGTAGGGTAAGAAGCAGAGAGGGGTAGGGGGCTTTCTAGATAGGTGGTCAGGGAAGGTCTTTTAGATAAGATGGCCGGGGTCCATCTTGTGAAAAGTACGAAAGCCGTGACAAGAAGGCAGGGCATTGCCTTGTTGGACTTCGGCTGGGAAGATGCACACTGGGTGACTCTGTGCATGTCCACAAATGACCACGGAAGCCCAGTGAATACTGACCTCACAGTACAGTTGACTCAGGGTCCGGTCAAGGAAACAAACCACTCTAGGTGTTTCAGAGAGAGGGAATTTAATACAGGGAATTGGTTAAGTGGGAGATGGGAGGGTTGAGAAGCCAAAGCCATTGGAGGGACACAGCGAAGGGGTGGTGTGATGAGGAGGGGGCTCTTGGGTGGGATTTGGGACCATGGAGGGAGTGTAGCCACTGTCAGAAAACACCTTCCACCCCAAGCAGAAAGAGAGGGGAGAAATACCCTCTCTGGCTTCTCCTTTCCTTCCCACCCTCCAGTTTCCCTCTAGTGCCTCTCCTTGGAGGAATCTAACAGGAAACAAGTGAGCAATGGAACCTGGGAAATGTAGTTTTCTGAAGAAGGGCAGGGCATGGCTCTGACCTGCACAATGACAGAGCAGACACACAAATTATGTAAAGGAACAAGCCACGTGGGCATCTGTGGTCATAGTGTTTTGGGTAGCGGGAACAGCAGGTGCAAAGGTCCTGAGGTAGGAGCGTGCCAGATGGAACCAAAACTTTGAGAGTGAGTGTGATGGTCCAAGCACACCGTGCAGAATGAGAGGGACAGCGAACCTAGGACAAAGCCCTGGGAGATACAGACATTTAAGGAGTAGGCAGGAGGCAGCCACCATGCAGCCAGAGAGGTGGGGGGCAGAACTGGGAAATAAGGTGTCTCTGAAATCAAGGGAGAAATGACTTTCAAGAAGGGAATGCTCCGTGGAGACTAACTTACTGTGACAATGGCTAAAAGGACAAACATGAGGCTGTGGGACTGGCAAACTGGAAGGTCATTGGTGCCTTTGGTAAGAAGAGCTTTGGAAGCACAGAGGAGGTGGGAGGTGAGGAAGTCAATGCAGCAAGTGCAAATGTGAGTGTAGACCATTCCTTGGAGTGTAGACCACTCCTTGGAGAAGCTTCGCTGTGCAGAGCTGGGCAGTTTCCCACAGCGCCAACGTCAACAGGGCAAGGAAGAGTGTATCACTGGGTTCCAGATCCTTTAAGCCAGGAAGCCTGGAGCCCAGTGGTCTTGGGGTCTGAAATCAAGCAGACCTGGGTTCAAATCCTGGATCTCTGTTTACTGCTGGATCACCCTGAGCTGAGGTTCCGTCTCTGGTCTGAGTCCGGTTCCCTCACCTGTAAACACAGGAGTTGCAGACTGTTCGTGGGAGCTCGCAGCAAATGCTCAGCAAGCGTATTTGCAAAATGTCCAGCACTTATAAATGAAGCTTTAGTACAAGTAGGAAGGACAAGCCCATCTTATTTTTTTTTTTAGGGACATTTATCAGTTGTGAATAATAACCACCATGGCAGCTACTGTTTATGAAAAACTTACCATGCCTCAGACACCCTGTGAAGTGTTTTACAAGCACCATCTCCCCCCGCTCTCCCCGTGCTCACCCTGTTCCAATTACAGTGGCCTCCTCCTGTCCCCAAGGCCTGTGCCCTTGCTGCTGGGGTTGCGTGGAACTCTTTCCCCAGATATGCACATGTCCCCTCCTTCACGTTTTTCAGATCTCTGCTTAACGGTCCCCTTCCCCAACCACCCTATTTAAAGTTCACTCTCTCCTTCCTCCTAGTACCCTACATATTTTGCTTTTTTCCACCTATTTCTCGCCTGTGTCACCCGGTAAAATATTCAGCGTCAGGCGGGGAGGCATCTTTGGTCTGTTCACAGTGCCTGGGATATAGTAGCTGCTCAATAAATCATTTGGTTCTCAGGCTACCTGAACGCCTTTACGCGTATTTGGTCTTGGGGTCCTCACAGCCACCCACTTTGCAGACAGGGACACTGAGGCAGAGAGGAAAAGTCATTGCTGGAGGTCACACCCATGGGCAGAACCTGCATCTTTGTGTTGCCCAGCTCAGAAAAAAAGACGGCTCAAGACCCCCAGCTGTTCCTCACCACCCCGCGCCCCGCAACACCCCAAGTTCGGGAACTTCTCCCGAGGCCAGCCCTCCGCGCGCGGCCGCCGCGGGGAAAGGCCTGAGTCATCGCCACCTCCAGACGGCGGCGGCCGCGGGCTGATGGCGACCGCGGCGGCGGTGGCGCGAGGTGATGCGGGGACGCCAGGAGGGGGCGTGAGTGCAGGCAAAACAGAGGAAATTAAAACCCGCCCGGCGCTCCTCCCCGTGGTCCCGCGGCCGCCGCCGCCGGCTGGTGCGTGGGTGGGCGGCTGGGTGGCGGGGCTGCCCAGGGCGCCGCGCTCCCCCCACCGAGGGGGCGGGCCCCGGAGCGGGCGGGTCGGTGCCGGGCCCCGGAGGACGGTCCGAAGTGTAAGTGCGCCGCGCCCACCCCAAGTTCAAGTCGCGAGCTGAGACCCGCCTGGGACCTGCTCGCAGCGGCGTCTCCTGCGTCTCCGCGGTCCCGGGCGGTGACGGCTGTGACGGGAAAGCCTCCCGCTGCGCGAGGGACCCGGGCCCCGCACCTTCACCCGAGCCACCGCGTCCACTGGCTCCCCTCGTCCCGAAACGAGCGAGGGATCCCCGAGTGCTCTTGGGCCCCCTGGGAAGCCCCTTCCCCGAGGCAAAGGTGACCGACCGACCCTCGGCGGCCGGACTCCTGGGAGCGCACCAGAGGGTCGCCCCGCGCGCCCCCTGCTGCCGGGTCTCCTGGGTTTTAGGGAGCCGGGGTCTGTGTCCGAACAGTAGGAGGGTGACGACCTGCGGCTCCAGCCCCCTGCCAGCTTTGGGTGGTCGCGGTGGGGCGACTGTCCGTCCCTGCAAACGCGGGGTGCAGCGCCTGGGGCTCCGAGAGGGGCTGCGCGCGCGGAGGGTGGCCCGGGAATACCGCCGGGGGG